CGGAAGAAAAACAAACATTTTCAAAAAAATGCAACTTAATACTTTGATGAAATTCAATGACTCTGATGTGAATGGATATCAGATATTCCAGGGACACGAATAGGATAACCTAGGGATGTACCGGGCGGGATGTCCACTGGACAACCACTGCGCGACATCCCCTGGATGCCCCAATCATGTCCTTGTACTGCGGAACAAAAAAAGGACGTACCTAGGACATTCCTGTGTTGTTAGGGTAGAGACAGGACGCAGAAAAGACAGGGCGCAACAAATAATCCGTGTGGAAACATCTTGATCTTGACATATCTGTCACTAGTGTCATGTTTTCAGCATATTCAAAATTTCCTTCCAATTTCAAATAAAAATATTATAGATTTGGTGCATTAGTAGCTTATTAAGCAGGTATAGATAGTTTGTTGTATTAGTTGAGTGAGTGTATTGTGCTTTCATCATGAACTGACTGCTGCAATGTGTGAGGATAAAAAAAAAATGATTATTTGATGCAGGTGAACTGTATATACAGTGCAGCCCATCCATCAGAATTTTTTGTTGTTATTGGACATTGATCCTTGCGGTTTTTACGTTTCTGTTCTACTGTTTTGTGAAATTTACGATGACCTCATCAGAGTTTGCATTACTGTTTCCGTTTATAAAATACAGGGTGATTATGAATATTCATACTTCTAACAAATGATTTTGCGCCGAATTCAGTGGCGTACTCAATTTATTTTTTTGAGGTATGGTTTTGGAGAAACAACACAATATTATACTCTGTATCGTATTATTTTGTTGGATTTGATATTCTTTCCAGCCTCAAAAATCAACAGAGAATTTTGCGCAGAATCCAGTGGTGTACTCAATTTGTTTTTTTTTCAGTTATGGTTTTGGAGATATAACACAAACTTATACCCTGTATCGTATTATTTCGTTGGATTCGTTAGTTTTTCCATCCTTGAATTATGTATAATTCTTTATACACAGGATGTTCAGAGATGCGGTAATACTGAAACATTGAATTATTATAATGCATTTGTGTTAGTAGAACATATGGAATCCCAAGTGTAGGTTCTTGAAGAGGATTATTATATGTAATTATTGAACCTGGGTGAATTAGTGTTAGAGAGTATTCTTATTTTATCATAATATCCTATGGTAATAAAAAAACAAATGGGAATTATTCAATTGATAATTCTTTCATATGAAAATTTAATTAGTTAGTGTTCTTTTAAGTGAAGTCTGGAGGAATGACCTATCGGCGCTGGGGTCGAGTTTGTCTATATGCGCAGAAACTCGCTAGATAGCCGTTCACGATGCGAAAGTACTGTCGGTTCGAATCCTCATGATTGTTATCCTGGCAGCACATCGATGCCCTAGGAGTGGTTCTAATTCTTTCATAAGCAGTAGGTCCCGCTCTTTCTAACCCCGCACCAGTTTCGACTTCTGAGGAGTTGGTTCCCAACTTTGGAGTAGCGATATACAAATATTAACAATATTAAATGAGTACACCAGTTAAAGAGAAAACAATAACAAATTCAACTAAAATATAAAACAGGTATTCTTCATTCCTTGGAGCGCACGAAAGAAAGTTCCTATGATAATTGAAGATCATTGTGCGTACCCATAGAGGATAGAGAAAGGACGTAGGTGTTTAAATTTTTCAAAAACTTTTGGAGGTTATAAATTCTTGGGTATACTTCCATTGGCAATAAATAATTCCAAAGCTTTGCCGTTCTATATAGACGAACGATTTTTGGTGAAGTGTTGTTCTACATATTTCAAGCTTGACATCGTATACAGGGTGTTTCATTGGGAAAGGTAAATAATTCAACTGTGGATAGGGGTCACTGGGGTGATTTCAAAAAACTCATGGTTGATGGGTCTTCGACTTCTTATCACCGAGATACAGGATGTTTCATCAATTTTGTCCATATCTTCATCGTCTCATAACTTTCCAACCAACCTGTATATATTTTTAAAAATCGGTACACTTGCTCAATCTACCCTGTGAAATTGATTGAGGCAACAACAAAAGATAAAATCCAGGTCCGGCTTCACTTGAAATTCACAAATTCTTTCTGCCAGAAAACAACACCCTATACATTCGAATTTCTCATTTTTTTGCCATATCTGAAAGGAACATCAAAATTTCTATTCAACGATGTGCTTTTTATTCGTGCACAGACGATTTTGACTATTCATATTATGTGCTCAAATTATTATTTTGCCGCTTCTACTCGAAGGTAGCAGTAACTTCGATTTTTCAAATGGGACACCCTGGATGCTTCACGAAGAGCTGATTTAATCGATTCACAAAGTTCGGGGTCTAGTGGGACTAATTACTGAGATATCTAGAGTGAGAAAAATCGAGATGTGTCAACTTCAGCATTATGTGGCGAGAATATGTATTATTGATCAAAACGGCTTTTATGTCCCTACCTCAACTTTGTATCTATTGACATTTGATCGAAACAAATACAGGATGGTTCATAATTCAGATTTCTGCACCACCCTGTATCTGTTTCAATTGAATATCGAATAGAAAGTTGAGATAGGGATACATTGAAGCCGTTTTGACATACAATAATAAATAGTATCAACACAAAACATTTCTAAAGTTGAAACATCTCGATTTTCCACATCCTATATCTCAGTTATCAGTCCCGCTAGACCTTGAATGTTTTGAATCGATGAATTCTGCTGTTCAGCAAGAATCCCACAATGTAATGAAATACATTTGAAAAATCGAAGTTGCTGCTACTCTCCAGTAGAAGCGGCAAGGCTGAATCGTTTCAAATATTTCAGTAGTGTAGATTATGTTAATTTATACATACCATCGTAATTTCAGATTTATCCGTTGCCTGGCTTGCCAGAAACATCTAATTAACGCTCATCGTGAAAATCCCTGTATAGTTTTGATGACGGACATGCAACTAAGTCTGGAACAAAGAACGATACTCGGAACGATATGAAATACTCCTTCTAAATGTAATACTCACGTATACTGAATAGGAAGTAATGCAATTAATAAATCTTGTCTGATTCCAATTTTGTACCCCAAAATAAACAAAAATAATATTTTGAGCACATAATATGAATAGTTAAAATCGTCTGTACACGAAAAAAAGCACATCGTTGAATAGAAATTTCGATGTTCTTTTCAGATATGGCAGAAAAATGAGAAATTCGAATGTATAGGGTGTTGTTTTCTGGCAGAAAGAATTTCTGAATTTTAAGTGAAGCCGGATCTGGATTTTATCTTTTGTTGTTGCCTCAATCAATTCCACAGGATAGATTGAGCAAGTGTACCAATTTTTAAAAATATATACAGGTTGGTTGGAAAGTTATGAGACAATGAAGATATGGACAAAATTGATGAAACATCCTGTATCTTGGTTATAAGAAGTCGAAGACCCATCAACCATGAGTTTTTTGAAATCACCCCAGTGACCTCTATCCACAGTTGAATTATTAACCTTTCCCAATGAAACACCCTGTATATTCTTCCAAAACCATACCTAGAAAAGAATCAGTAGGTCACTGGATTCTACGCGGGATTCTCTGTTGGACTAGTTCTCAGCTAATCAATATTTCTCAAAAAGGATAAATTTCCAAAATCCCCCTGTATCTCATAATCGGCAATCGTTATAAAAAATATGATAAGCCATACTGTCTGTAGGTTAATCGAGGAGGTGGTATATTCATTTTACTTGATTCTTTGGGATTTTCTCTCCTCGTTTCTATAAAATAAAAGTATTCGTATTATTTCAATATATTTGTAGAGGGACAAATCAGATGATTTGCCCCAAAATGTCACTGCGTTTAACAAATTTTTCTATCAGGGAGTCTAAAAGAAAAATCCAGTAGCTTGTCAGTGACAATTTGTTTGAAAAAATTTTTGAAGGAAAGAAATATAGATATATTGAAAAAATATCGAATTTTTACTCATCTTTGGACGTTTCGGGACCGATTCTGCTCCCGTTCTCAACATGTAAATGCAAATTATTTTTCTTTGAAAGTTGTGCTGCGTATAGTTTGACACTTTTCAGTGTCATACTGATGTTGGCACATGAATGAGTGATTTGTCTACAAATGAGTTACAGGATGTTTTCATTAATTGATCTTGAATCTACCATTTTCATGTTCAGTTTTCAGTAGTGAATACCATGTTCTATCAATATCAACTGAACAGGAAGCAATGTTATTGTCTCCGTTTAGAAGAATGCAAGCGGATTCCTTGATTTTTCTTTTTTGTTTGTTATCTTCTTTTCCATTCTTCTAAACGGAGACAATAACATTGCTTCCTGTTCAGTTGATATTGATAGATAGAACATGGTATTCACTACTGAAAACTGAACATGAAAATGGTAGATTCAAGATCAATTAATGAAAACATCCTGTAACTCATTTGTAGACAAATCACTCATTCATACGCAGCACAACTTTCAAAGAAAAATAATTTGCATTTACATGTTGAGAACGGGAGCAGAATCGGTCCCGAAACGTCCAAAGATAAGTAAAAATTCGATATTTTTTCAATATATCTATATTTCTTTCCTTCAAAAATTTTTTCAAACAAATTGTCACTGACAAGCTACTGGATTTTTCTTTTAGACTCCCTGATAGAAAAATGTGTTAAACGCAGTGACATTTTGGGGCAAATCATCTGATTTGTCCCTCTACAAATATATTGAAATAATACGAATACTTTTATTTTATAGAAACGAGGAGAGAAAATCCCAAAGAACCAAGTAAAATGATAAGCCATCTTAGGTTCCACAAAAAGTATGTTGATACTAAAGTGAAAGTGCAATGCTCTATCTTCAGAAACAGCCGATAAACCTGTCAGTCTCAAGCAAACCTGTTTCCCCACAAGGTCATAAAAGTTGAAATTAGATCTGGAACATTCATTGAGAGACTCTATATTTATGTACCGCTATTTTATTTGTAGAAACGTGGACCATGTTAATATCAGAAAATTCAATAAGACGGAGCGAACTCACTTCTGATCCGTGGGAACTGGGAGTTGAATGAATCACTTTTCGGAGCAATGTTGATGGTTTTCCGAGTCCGAGACACTTCACTCGTTGAAAGGTCGACACTAGGTGGACTGCAGGTAATTCTGGACTAAGAAACCGCGTCTCGACTCACGTGGTTCGTTTGCCAACTCTGTTCGATTCTAAATAGATCCGAGAGATGACTATTATGAAATATATGCAGATATGCACTCACTTTCGTGCTATCTTTGTAACAACTTACCGAGATCAACCAATAATTATCATTAACATTAAGTTAGGAATATTCATTGGAGGGAATTTAGTTCAAAATATTTATTTCTGTGACGGAAAAGAGTTTGAAATTTCTTCTATGTTGACAGGTTATAAAATGTCGCCTTTCATGAATTACTTTTTTCGCAAGGAAAAAACATTGAAGACTGTTGGCCCGCGACACAGGGTTTATCGATGTTCTAAGTCGGTATGCCATTCAAGGGACCCACTCACTTAGTTCAAGTTAACAGGAAGGAGTACCTCGGAGAGTTGCAACTCAGTCCTTGCCCCGGCCCTGACCGCACCTTTCGGATGGAAAAAAGTTCAAAATTTTGTTTAGGAAGAAGCTCGGCAATGAAGTGCAATGATCTTATCTCACGAAAATTGGAGCGCTTGCCGGTTTGCATACGCCTATTTCACCCCCCAAGGGAGGCATACGAACCGGAAGTGGCAATTTTTCAGTGTTATAGTCGATGATCTAAGAATGAATGCCCTCTTGCGAAACAATGAATTCGGACCCATTAATCAGTTTCCCGACATTTGCATACGATTTCGGAGAGGGGAGCTCGACTTATTCGACTTATCTCTGGGCCGATAAACTAGGATATTCTGTATAAGTGGATGCTATTTGCGTACGAATTCAATGTGAGCATACGTTGTAATAATCGGGCAAACCCGCGCGTGCCTCGGTCCGGCGCGGCACCCCGCACTGCACCCCAGAGGTGCACCGAAAGCGAACTAGATAATCAGGAAGTCTCATAATCTCACTCCACATGAAACTGGTCAAAGATTAACTTCCTGGGAGTGATCGGGGTATTCGAAGACGCAAATTGCAGATATATTTGTATTTATTCATCAGAAATTTACAGCTCAACAAAATTACATGTGTGAGAGGTTTAGTACCAAGTCATGTTTTTGAATTTGAAAAACAGGGCTTAGAAAAGATGATAAAAAAATTGACGACCAAATACTCGCAGGATGATCAAGAGAGATCGTACAGGGAGAAGAGGGGTGGATTATTGCTCATGATCGGATCTCAAAATCCTTCAAAAAATACGAATACACCATATACTCTCTAGATATTTCTACTACTACGTTTCATGCGATCCAGAAGATTGAATTCACGAGAATTCGTTCTAAAAATTCATCAGAAGAAATCATTTGCACCATTTGTTCAATTTCTGCAAATCAAAGGTAGTGAAAAAAAAAGGTCGAATATTAAAAATACAATTTCGCTGAGAGTTCATCATTTCATGAATTATTTCGTATGAGTAAGATTCCTGTGCAATCCGATTATTGGAGATATAAGATTTATGAGATCATTCGCTGTTATTGGAATATTTTGAAAATATTGTTTCATTCCATTCAAAAATAGATTCGTATATGCTTCGAGCACGTCTGGTGAATGCGATTATTTTTAGATTTCTGTGATCTTAAATCGTCTCAAAATGTGACACGTCAACTGTTCGCAGTTAAGCTGAGTGAAAAATGTACATTTTCTGAATTTTTTCGGGAAACTATAGCGGTGAAAATAATATGAAATTTTTTGAAGACAACAAGATCGTGTGAATACCTGATGCTCATACAAGGTTAAGCATATGTGTGGAAACAGCTATAATTTCTGACTACACCGGAAGTGATTTAAACTCGAATTCAAATCTTTTTCGCCTCACATATAACTAAAATCGAATTTATATAGCGTACGGATATGGATCACGCTAAATGATCGACTAATCACTGATTGACGATCTGTGAATTATTCAAAATACTAAACACGTTGAAAACAATTCACCATGGCAACAGAGTCTTTTAAACACACCTTCAGTCGTTCGAGTCCTGTCCGGCTTGTCATTTGTAGGAACTGTGAACTGTCATTATCCGATTTTTTTTATCGCCTGGAACGCACGAAAGTAAAATCGAAGAGAATGTTTCAAGTAGGTACTTGCATATTTCCAAGAACTCTATATAGATAAAATGAAGCTCTCATTTTTGTGGGCAATTCATTCTATATGTTGAGCATGACAATAAACGTAAAGCACAATATTGATGTGAGCAGAATCATGGAATCAGAATATGGATACAAACCTGAAAAATCGAAAACTCTGACACCTCAGCGAATCGAAGAGTTCTTATCTTCTACGTCATATGAAATACTATTCTCAAAGGTCAGTAAACAAGCCATTTTGATAGAAATTCATCTATTCTATGGATTGGATGCACATTAACAACCAATTTAACATTACGTGTCTCGCTGGTTGCATGCAGGTGCATAGTATTATGTATTATGTCCTCAATTCCTATTCCCTTCGAATTATTCTGTATGTTAGCAGATAAGTTATAATCTAATTTTCAGAATTATGGGATCTTATCGAAGAAAGGAATTTTGAGTTCGTAGAAAGAGTATAGTATGTAACGCATCTATAAACTCTTCTAGACACTCGTTTATTAAACACTAGCTCCGCTCTGCTGCGCACGTGTTTAAAATACTCGTTGATAAAATGACGTTTATACAAATATACTATTTTCTTTCAAGACTTTTACATGTTTTTTCTTTGTTCTACTAAGTAGCCAATGTTGATTTTTGGTAGCTATCATATTGTCGTTAATATGATGCAGTCAGCAGTTTCTTTTTTATGGTTTTTCCTATTCTTCTAACTATTGGTTTTCTGCACTGAGGAAAATTGTGCTTTCAAAATTTTTGCTGAGATATTTCTTGCTACCATTACAAGAAATCATAATACCGTTATACATTTTCGAATGGAAGCAGCACCTTGGAAACCTATGATAGCAATAACGACTTTGCTGAATTCCTGCCACAGAAAGGTATACTGCTGTCGCTATCAGGCAGCCACTTTGGGACAGCATGATTTTTTTATAATTGTCTAGCTGAACTACTACTAGTGAGTTATATTATGTTTGTGACTGCGAGGTTTATCGCATAGAACTGCACTCACTACCAATAATAGAACTGTCAGTCTGCCACGAAAATAATATTTGAGGAACCTACTTGGACTTTCATTTTACTTGGTTCTTTGGGATTTTCTCTCCTCGTTTCTATAAAATAAAAGTATTCGTATTATTTCAATATATTTGTAGAGGGACAAATCAGATGATTTGCCCCAAAATGTCACTGCGTTTAACAAATTTTTCTATCAGGGAGTCTAAAAGAAAAATCCAGTAGCTTGTCAGTGACAATTTGTTTGAAAAAATTTTTGAAGGAAAGAAATATGGATATATTGAAAAAATATCGAATTTGTACTTATCTTTGGACGTTTCGGGACCGATTCTGTTCCCGTTCTCAACATGTAAATGCAAATTATTTTTCTTTGAAAGTTGTGCTGCGTATATAGTTTGACACTTTTCAGTGTCATACTGATGTTGGCATATGAATGAGTGATTTTAGTCTACAAATGAGTTACAGGATGTTTTCATTAATTGATCTTGAATATTTTCACTAATCATAAAAAATATTCAAGATCAATTAATGAAAACATCCTGTAACTCATTTGTAGACTAAAATCACTCATTCATATGCCAACATCAGTATGACACTGAAAAGTGTCAAACTATATACGCAGCACAACTTTCAAAGAAAAATAATTTGCATTTACATGTTGAGAACGGGAGCAGAATCGGTCCCGAAACGTCCAAAGATAAGTACAAATTCGATATTTTTTAAATATATCCATATTTCTTTCCTTCAAAAATTTTTTCAAACAAATTGTCACTGACAAGCTACTGGATTTTTCTTTTAGACTCCATGATAGAAAAATTTGTTAAACGCAGTGACATTTTGGGGCAAATCATCTGATTTGTCCCTCTACAAATATATTGAAATAATACGAATACTTTTATTTTATAGAAACGAGGAGAGAAAATCCCAAAGAACCAAGTAAAATGAATGTACCACCTCCTCGATTAACCTACAGACAGTATCTACTTGGACTTATTTGGCGCCTACTTATCGTTATTCGATATTTTGCTGATTTGTACCCCTTTATATAAGCTTTTCTTTTGTAATTGTATACCTCGTTGGTCCCAGCACTGGAACCAAACGCCCCATAAGTCGAAACTTGTGCGGGGTTAAGTATACCTACAAACACAAACATCCATGGCATAACTAGGATTCGAACCTATGTCTCGGGTGGGAGTCCCCATACACGCTCTCGACCACCGGCCTGTCAGACATCTTGCTTGATCAATCATTCACGTGCTCTTGATGCAAACCGATATAACAGGACGACAATCTCGACGACACGACAGTTACGAATACTTCCCCTCTTGAATTCAATTGATTATTTAAAATCTGAATCTGAATTCAAATATAAAATGGAAACATTAAAAAAAAATCTTCTGTGTCCCTTTCAGTGCTTTCGTAGATCTGACTGAGTGCTTTCAGTTATTACCAGGATTGATGGAATGACAAAAGTGAGTTTTTTCGACTGAAATTCAAATATTTTACATTTAACTAGTGGTGCCCGCGAGAGTCTCGTTTTCGAGAGTCTCGGATGGTCTCGTCTCGTTTTCGAGACAAGACGCGAGACGAGACTCGGACAACACGAGACGAGACTTTTGTTAGTCTCGTCTCGAGTCTCGTGCAAGACTTCTCGTGTCTCGTGCGAGAGTCTCGCAGGTAAATATTTCTGCGTGTCGACTGCAGACTTGAGAATTTCATTCATAATACAACATATTTAGAAATAATTCAGACTATTTAGCACAAACAGACAAAACATTTCATTCATAAATACTTTAAAAACACAATCCATGATTGTTGTAAAACGTCGTGATGCGTGTAACGAAAATGGACTATTCTCTCTCTTACGGCGGCGGAATATAAAGGCAATT